CTCCTCCTCCTCCTCCTCCTCCTCCTTCTCCTCCTCCTCCTCCTCCTCCTTCCTCCTCCTTCCGTAGCAATTTTGGCTCAAGCCATTTTGGCTCAAGGTCCCAGTTGGCCGTGCCGACACATGGAGGCCGCTAGTCCGCGGACTGCTTTCGTGCATACTCGAGGCGAGGGCGCCTCGTTTATTGAACGCCTCCCAGTTTCGCGCCCCGCATGGCCGACCTCCCGCCCGCGGCGTCCGACCACACGCTGCGCAGGGGGGGCATCTCGAAGCGCAAGACTCATGGTGATGGCGCTAGTGCTGCGCCTAGTGTGGCTGCTGGCTCCAGAGGCGACCGCTCGAGGACCCCGCCTCCCAACGATGAAGCTGACCTCGACGCCTCCGCCACCCTGGCCTACGTCCAGACCCTGCAAAGCAAGATCGACAACATGGAGAACTCCATCAAAGAGTCCATCAACTCCATTGTCTCCTCGGCGATAGGCGATGCCACAGCGCCGATCACCTCCGCCCTGCAGGCCGCCCAAGACGCGATCAACGGCCTCTCGGGCAAGCTCGAGAAGGACATCAATCTCGCCATCGGCCAGCGCATCGACTCCGTCCGCAAGCAATTCCAGCAGCAGCTCGACGTCTTCAGCAAGAGGATGTGCGAGCTCGAGTCCAGGCACGACAAGACCGACGCCGCCATCGCGGCGATGGCCAACCAGATCAGAGACCTCCAGCAGGCGCTTGAGGTCGCCAACAAGCAGCCGATCCAGAACCAGTTCGTCAGCCGCGACTTCGACAAGGAGATCGACGCCACGGTCGTCAAAGTCCACGCCGACGGCCTCGTCATTCTTGAGAAGCCACGGAAGCTCTCACATAATGGATCACAGAGAATAACATTAAAGAGTCCGATTTCAAGGTCCAGGGGAATCCTACGTCCAGGTTCTTCACGGTCCAGTTCGTGGGTGTCCCTGGGGTCGCTGCCAAGAGAGTCTAGAAGGTCCTCGACTGCCTCCGCGACCGCAACGGCAACTGGACCCGCATCCACGCTCCAGCGGTTGCGGGCCAAGGGCAAGTCGAGCTGCGAGTCGGCCCCGACAGGTCGCCCAAGCAGATCAAGATCGAGATCACGGGCAAACGCATCAGGCAGGCGCTCGAGAGGGACTTCCCGAACCACACCTGGCGGGTCGACCGCGCCAAGGGCTGGGTCCTCGCTGGCTGGGCGCCCGTCCTCTCCTACTCCGTTCGTCCTGGCCGAGATGATCCCCCCGTGCTCTCCTACCAGGACGCCGGCCTCCCCGCGCTCGGCATCGACCGTGCGCAACTCAAGTCCACCGCAAGTGCTGCAGTGGCCCCTGAAGCTGCCCCCCAGTTTTGGCTTCGACGAACTCGCGGCCAGCCTGAAGAGACCCGCCCGTGGTCCCTCCCCGAGCTTGGTCGTGGGAACATGGAATGCTCGAGCGCTTCTTGGCTACCAAGGCCGAAGAGTCATCGAGAAGACCGCGCACCTCAAGCCCCTCCCCCTCGGCAAGATGATCCTTGGCATTCGAGAAGTGCATCAGGACATCACGCAGCTCCGCACTTTCATGAAGAAGATCGACAGCACGCTGGACATGCACTTCTTCTCTGCTCCAGGCCACCACGGCGTGATCAGTGGCGGGGTGGCCACCATGTTTCCTGCCGGCCTCCATGCTGAGAGCGATGCTCTCATTCCTGGTCGTGTCCTCCGCGCCGTCTTCCGCACCAACACCCAGCAGATGATATTCTACAACATCCACAACTACGAGATCAGCAACGCCGCCATCAAGCGCGTCTCCACTCGCATCCTCAGCGACCTCTGCCTAGCCAAGGCAAGCCCGTGCAAGGTGATCCTCATTGTGATGGGTGACTTCAACTTCGCTGCCGTCGGGAAGCTCAAACTCACCGAACCCGTATCCAGAGCCAGCTCGGAGCCCTCCGAATCGTCCAAAGCATCGGCACGCAAGTGGCACGACGCGCTGAAACACCTTGTCGAGATCGAAGGGGCCGACACCACCCACTACTGTGTAGAGACGAAGGCTGAATCCACGATTGACCGCTGCTTCTGCTCTTTCACGCCTACACAGATGTTGCAACTCTCGGTCAACTCCGCCACCTTCTCCACCCCTGAGGACCTCTCGCGTCGCCATGTCAGCGACCGCGCGGCCGTCCTCGTCTCCTTCACCATGCGCGACGTGAAGCCAGCCAAGAACCAGCCCATCGCCCAGTTCATCACGCAGTCCCCCACCTTCAAGAAGATCGCTGACAAGGTCTTCGGGGCGACCGACATGAGCCACCTGTCCCCGCCGTCCAAGCTCGTCCTCACTACGGAGCTGCTCCGCGAGATCGCGAGAGAGACCAGGGGCCACATGCTCGAGACCTCCCCGAACAGCGGCGACGTCCAGCTCCAGGTCGCCAAGTCCATCGCCCGCGCCGTGTGCTCGCCGCCCGTCTCCTCCGTGTGCACCAATCTGCTCAGGATCACGTGATGTTGGACGGCGATCGGGTCTAGCTCATCGACCATGTCAAATTCGAGGAATGGGCCAATGATCTCTTCCGCCAAGATGCTGACAGAAGGCAGACGGCCATCGACCTCGCTGCTCAGCGGGGCCGCCTCCGCCCCGCGCAGGCTCGTGCACAATCGCGCGCCCCCCAAAGGAAGATCAAACTGTGGAACCCGATCGGCAAGAGGCCCATCCTGACAGGCGTCAAAACTAGCGTGGGCACTGTGTTAGGGCCGAAGGACAGGCTGCAAAAGTTGGTCGAGCACTGGCAGCCAGTCTTTGAAGGCAAACAAATCGACTTCGACAAAGCAGCCGACTACCTCAGTCAGTCCTCGCCCATGATCGATTGCAACAGCTTCAACCCGCCAGACTACGACACCCTCAAGAAGTCCGCTTCCCGCTCCTCCTCTACTTCTCCTGGGATGGACGGGCTCCCACGAGAAGTGCACCGAGACCCTCCGGGACGTCATGTGCTACATGCTCAACGGTGGCATCCCCCCCGACGAATGCAACGCCGCGGTCCAGGCCTTCTTCCCCAAGGGGGGCGAGCCAGAAGACTTGGAACACTGCGGCTGCCACCGTGACCCGTCAAAGGTCCGAGTCCTGGGACTTCGCAACGCATCCATGAAAATCATCAGCAGCACCATGAACGCTGCGACAGCCGCGGTAGCAGCCAAGGTGGTCCCAGCCTCACAGCGCGGCTTCATCCACGGTCGCAACTTCGGCTACAACGCGGTGGAATTGGACGTGGAGAGCCACATCGCGTCCGCCGACCCCGGCGCGAAGGACACCCTGCCCGTGCTGGTGTCGCTCGACATCGCCCAGGCGTTCCCCAGCTTCGCACGCTAGTTCGTCCGCCTGGCGCTCAAGGCCATGGGCGCACCGATGGCTGCCATCAACTTCTTCGACTCCGTGTACCACAACATCCTCGCCATGGCTCTCTGCGCTGGCCAATACATCCCCCTGTTCTACATCCGTTCGGGCATCATCCAAGGATGTGGATGGAGCGGCGCCCTCTATGCGATGGGCACGGCTAGTTTCCTCTCGAATATTGAAAGAGCTCTAGAGAACCAGGGGCGAGGCCTATGCCGCGCATGTGCTGACGACCTCGGGCTTGTGCTCAATGCTGTCACCCGCCTCTCCCACCTGGCTGAAGTCGCGAACTCGATGGACATGCTTGCGGGGCTCACCCTGAAGGCCCCGAAGTGCCGCATCATCCCTCTCGCGGGCGAGGTCAACAGCGAGCTCGCAGACAAGCTCCGCATCGCGCTGATCAACACCGTCCCGTTCTTCAAGGACTTCAACATCTGCGACTGCCTCACCTACCTCGGGCTGCTGATCGGCCCTGGCGCAACCGAGAAGCGAATCTTCGAGAAAGCTTTCAATAAGTTCAAGATGCGCGCCAAGGCCTTCGGTGCTAGTGACGCCCCCTCCATGGGCGCAGCCGCATTGTTCAACAGTCGTGCACTTCCTGTCCTGAGCTACCTCGCTCAGTTCGCTATGCTCCCACACGAGTACTTCAAGAACGAGAACTGGATCAACGCATCGGTGCTGCGATTCCCCAACGGTGCCTTCAGGGTCAAAGACTGGCCACACCTCCGTGCTTGGGGTGTCCACGGTCCGCGTTCGTTGCAGCTCGCGATGGTGGCCGCGAACACTCGATCTACAGCCACGACATTCAGAAAATTCCTTGAGATCCGAGCACGACTCCACGAGGGCCTCAACTCGCATGGCGACATGCAGACTCTGGTCGGGGTTGCCCGTGGCACGCTTCATCAGTCGCCTCCGTGGTGGCAGATGCCCCCGTTCGTGGAGACACTGCGCCGGGTCGCCACGCCCACGGCCGAGCACATCTACTACCCAGAGAACCTGCTGCGCCCTGCGGTTGCTGGCGCTCCGGAGGCCATTGCTGACGGCCGCCCTGGCCTCGCCCAGCGACGCGCGTTCTCGGGGGCACTCGCGGCCCTCGGTCCCCACTCCATCGGCCCCTTCCTGGAGGCGAGGATCGTGGCCGAGCACCCGCACGCCGCAGAGTTCCCCCACCGCAACCCAGACATCTTCTCCAAGCTGCGGGCGACCATGAGCCGCCTCCCTCCGTCGTGGGCAGCGGCATGGATGAGAACGATATCCTTTTCATGGCTGGCCTCGTGGCGTATCATCCTTCCGATGGGCAAAAATATCTGCATCTTCGGCTGCCGCCCTGGCCACGACACGCTCAGACACTTCCTCACGTGCGCGCCCCTGGCGCGGGCTGTAGGCAAGGCCTGCAATGCCCCCCCATGAGTACCGAGTTCGCGAAGCTCGGCCTTGCGGACATGACCAACGAATCCATTGAGTGCATCGTGGTCGCGTGCAACACGCACCACAAGCTCAGGGCCGAGCTGCTCGTCTCGGAGGAGGCGGCCCTCTCCGTCGCCAAGGCGCCCCTGCGCGCCTCGAAGACCACGCGGAGGCCCCCTGTCGTCCAGCGGGGCCCTCGGCGCCACCAGCACCAACGGCCTCTCGAAGGTGAGCTGGGCGACGAACACGTTCCTATTCAACATCGTGACCAAGTACTGGGACAGGAAGGAGCGATTCATCCTCCTCCTGGTGCGCCGCCTGCGAGCAGGTGAGCGCGGCGCGCCGCAGGCGGCGCGCTGGGGCGCGCGGCCGCGGCAGCCTGGAGCCGCCCCTCGGCACGCTCGACTCCTCCTCCTCCTCCTCCTCCTCCTCCTCCTCCTCCTCCTCCTCCTGCTCTCTCCATCC